ATGTCAAAGCATAGATATAAGAAAATAAAGTCAAGAAAGGAGGTGTTACCTTCTTCGACGCATTTTCAGGAGCACCAGTTGGTCTCTCGTCTGCCAAGGGCAACAACGGAACAAGGGCTTCGCCCGATAAGGCCACGAAGACATTAACCACATTCTCTATAAAAAGGTCATGGTTGAAATTTTGAGTTAGGTACTCCGACCATATAACATTAAAACTTTTGGTGGTAAAGAAAGATGGTTTACAGGAGAAGACTGGCAGCTCCAGATCCCGAGGGATGTCGAACTAGTGGTTTTGGCAGCATTTGGTTCATTCCAAATTGTCGGGCAACAAGGTTAGACTGGTAATTCATAAACCCATAACCAGTGTTACTCTACTCGATTCGGATCGACAACATTGTTGGAGTCAGAAATGCTTTCCATAAAGATTTTGACAACGCTGTCGTTATAGGGGCAGCACCAGGAAAAAGGTTTTGGACCCAAGACGGCCCAAATATTCGGTGCACGAAGGGGGAACTCTAGATACAAAAGTGTATGTCTCAGCAAACATAGTAAGATATTTCAGAAATAGTGTCTTATTGGGAGTCTCCTGCGTGGTCAGAAGGGCGAGTCAAACCCCCTCCACTGGTCGCTCCTCATTTAAACATTGCATCATGGCCGACGCAGGATAACCCAATTGATATTCAAAAGTGGCATTCTGCTAATGTTGCAGCAACCACATGGTCCCCAACATGTTCAGAGCTTTAGTGGTTTCATGAAGTCAAGAGATTTTCAAAGACAACAGCCACAGGGAATGATACATGGAGGCCAACAGAAGTTTGCCCAGAGCCATCTGTCGACCCTCATGTATTTGAATAGCCAGACTAATGTAGCTTTTGGCTATCTGTAATAAACCTGGGCAAAAAAGATAATATGACAGCCACAAGCTCAAGAAAGCGATATTCTCCTCGTCCAACACCTTGACCGAACCTTTGTCATGGTGGTCTTCTGTGAAATTCTGGAAACCAGCGCGGTCGAAGTCGAAGGACGCCTCTGTCTCCAGGTTGGGGTCGGAAGTTTCACCCAGGGGAGAAAGACCAGTGATAGCTGCCACATCACAGAGAGTAGGCGTCAGCATACCATAAGGTAATTGAAAGGTGTCCGTCGAGCCTTCCTAAATGAACATCGACGCCAACAACAGACAGAGGTTGACCTTGTGAGTATTCCTGGAGAGTTGAATGGCGTTGAAAATTCCAGCTCTTTTCCACTGGTCCCAGCGCTTGTTCTGGACCTTGTTCAACCAGGCGAGATAGTCTTTATTTCCTGGGATTGGCATCGATCGGAAAACCCTGGCCTTTGGTGCCATAAACTTTAAGTCGAGGGTGCCACCCTTGCGGAAAGCTAGGGGAATGGCGGCCAGAAAACCAGGAAAGAAGGGTTGCATTTCCTCATGATTAGGCTTACCAGTGGGGTAAGGGCTATGAAGGCATGCAGTTTCTCAGCCACTGCAAATGGGATGATCATTTGACACCTCCAAGCGGCCACCACGGCTTCATCAGCAGAACCGGGGTAGGGAAGAGGCCTGTGGGAATCCGCCTCCGAAATAACGAAAGCGATGGGGTCGTTGCCAGTAGTGTGGGTCTGAGAAACAGTTGAGAAAGCCATTGAAGCGGTAGTAAGAAGAACTGGAGTTCTTTTTCTTCAAGGAAAGAGAAGCAAGAGAGGAAGTTTTGGAAAAGGTCCAAATGAATACAAGGGAACTATTTATAGTTAAACTTGATGGCAACGAAGAGGCTCGAAGTCTTTTCAGATTCTCCTTCAAATAAGAGTGATGAGTGGGGGTTGGCTTGAATCCCATGACCTGGGAAAGTGGGTAAAATGATTAGGGTCTTTGGAAATCGTGGCGCAGAAAGAAGCCATCATCATGTCATGAGGTGACTAACACATGGCTGATTCAAGAGGAGGCAATGATGACACAAATATGTCAACAAACTGTTAAATGTCTAAAACACCAAGTCTCTCAGTCGACTTGATTCTCTATCAAGAACTAGGTTTTGGTGGGCATCTTGTTGGCTGAAAAATCCAACTCAAAGTATCGACAGGTGAAAAGGTCGAGGTCGACAAGAAAGTAAAGGAAGAAGGAAAGGTGTTCTAAGTCGATAGTGCAGGAGAAGACATATAGATCGACTTAGACATATGACGGTCGACCAAGTCGACAAATGGGGCAATTGACGAAGGGGTTTTGCTTGGCGAGAAATGGATTTGAAAAATGGAGAATATGGGGAAGTTACAAAAGTAGTGGCCAAACACATGGCGACACCAGAAACAACCTGGTGTTTATTTCACTTATCTATATAAAGCAAAGCCTGGCTCCAAGAGAAGGGCGCGTTTTTGGACAGCATTGTAAGAAAAACACTTTGAGTACCACACATTAAGAGAAAAGAGTTTTTCATTCCTTAAAAAATGTACGAACACGTCCACTTGTATTTACCAGTTTGAATAAATTTATCAAGTCTTTTTATGTTACGAAAGCGACGCATTTACTTTCATGTCATTTCCCTTCTTCTTTTTTTCGTTTTTATTTGAGTAGAAGCATCATCATATTTACTTAACTTCACCATACACACGTCCAAATAACCACCAAGTCTACCATAAATTCACACACCTAGAATCAAGTGTCTTGGGACTAGTTTGGTCGGTTCCGCAGGTAAACCCGCGTCGGGGGGTCAGAGGTTGCCCGCGCGAAAAACACGTGCGAACAGTGGTGCGTGATCAATTTCTATGTGAATTTGTATGTAGTGAACTACTATGATTATATATACACTGTTAACTATTTGAATCTATTCTCACCCCTTATTTATGTTGTTTCTTATGTGCTTCTCTAGAGTACAGACAATCACGTACCTGAGTAGGAGCTTGAGGTTGAAGACAGTGTCGTGCCTCTTTAGTAGCCAGTTGATCGAGTCCTTTAGTGAAGTCGCTCTGATATGAACACCATGGGGAACAAGTTGTTCTTTGTTTATGATATGTAACATATCTTCGCTTTGTTGTAGAGATGAACTATGTTTAATTTTGACTTATTGTTGAGGCTTTTAATGCCATAATACTTTCAAAACAAAATTTTGTTGCATATTGAATGGTGTAATTATAAATGAATGTTTCAGTTTGATTGATGATTTTTATATGAGTAACATCCTACTCGAAGAATTGCGTATTATATATGTTTTATTTGATTTAATTGTCGAGTCAGGAAGTAGGGTGTTAATCCTACTGTATAATATTGGCCACATAAAGACCTTATATTATGATAAATAAATAGGGTCTAAAGGTAATAATCTTAGACCTCTTAGAACTATGAACACATCGGGATTCAAAAAGATTTAATACTTCATTATTGTTTGGTTGGGAGACTAACCTCTCTAAGCCACTGTTCGTTATTTGGTTCAAAGTTAGTTTAGAAATTTCATTTTATCCTATAAGAAGGTTTGTGGACGCATCCTTCTAAAAACTCTAAAGTTTAACCGATACTCTTAAGAATAATTTTTAAAGACATGAATAAGTACTTATTTTTATTCCAATAGGGCAGCCTTTCACCAAGTTTTGTCGAGTGTGTATGGATCGCACCAGGCGAGCAAAGACTTCACTTTGTAACTCGCCTCTTGCATATATTAGCTTTCTCTCTTATTATGATCCAATAAATATATATTCATGACAAATTAGCATTCTCATTATTTTGAAATGAGTCATCTTAACATCATTCAATTAATTAATTAACTATTAAATAAAAAAAATTTTAATTTTATTTAATTACTTTAAATCTCTTAATTTAAATTTTAACTAATATGATGAATATGATAATATATGCTCACATAATAATTATTAAAATCTACTATTTTCAATCTTATTTATAAAATATAAAAAAAAAAATTAGATTAATTTATGTTTGGACTGTGTAATTGACCAAATTCATTAATTATTTATTAAATTTAAAAATTCAACTTTCCATTTATAAATAGAACCAGAAAAAATAATATTGAATAACATATAAATATAAAATATTCCTAACCAAAAAAAACCTATACCCTACCTCAAATATTCATCAACTATGTTTGGAGTTTGGTTAATATATCAAGAAAAATGCTATTCCTACACTCTTTTCTACACCCAATACTTACACCGTATGCACTATTCACCGTATTTATACGGTGAACAATGTTTTTTTTATTAAAATAATATATTTTTTTAAAATATTAATTTTTTTAAAAAAAATATATTTATTTTTAAAATTTATTTTATAACACAAATATAAGATTGCGCATTAACCAACTTCATAGTTGTATTATCCACAAAAATCTACATTATTAGCCAATTATTTTACCTATAATTTATTAACCACTTTCATTACTTCATTAACCAATAAAATATACACTATTAACCATGTTCTGAGAAATTTGTTCAAGTATTTGTGAACAGTAATTGAGGTGTAGGGTGTAGAAATGGGTGTCAACATAGCAATTCTGATATATCAATTACACTTGTAGGAGTCCTAGTAGTATTTTCTTTTCTCAAAATCCTTCACATTGAATTCCATCTTTTAATATCACTTTTATAGCTTAGCTAATTAATATGCCACACTAAAATATTACCGGATAAAATAATAAAAGTAATATTTAAATAAGAACAGTCTAGACTATCTTCACTTTTATAGCCTAGCTAATTAATATGCCACGCTAAAATATTACGAGATAAAACAATAAAAATAATATTTAAATAAGAACAACTTAGACTATGATACTTTATAGCCTAGCTAATTAATATGCCACAATAAAATATTACCAGATAAAACAAAAAAGTAATATTTAAATAAGAACAAGTTAAACTATCGATGAAATGAAACTTTTAATATCACTTTTGAAGAAAAAGTGATGTCACAAAAATATGTATTTAAATAGCAACTTAGACTCATTTGCATAATGGTGGAGAGTGAAAAATATTGTAGTGGTTGATTCATTTTTATTGCAAAAATGTTAAAGTTATTATCTTTACTTAACATCTTATTGATGATTATTTCAACTTTAGCCCTAACTCAGGGTCAACAAGTTGATTGGAGTCCCACAAAAACAACAGTGCGTGTTGGAAATGAACTTGACTTCAATGTTAATATGCATTGTAAATCATCTGATGATGATCTTGGCAACCGTGATATTCCTCCAACTACATATACAGAATGGTCTTTTCGAGCTAATTTTCGAGGCACCACTTTGTATACGTGCGTCTTTCAATGGGATAGTGTGAGAAAGAACGTGGTAATTTATGATGCTAAGAAAGATGAAGATTTATGTATTTCTCAGTGTTGGAGAATTCTTAGAACTGATGGCATCTATTTTTATAATCAATACAAAAAGTCTTGGGAGAAAAGATACTCATGGTAAAAGCTTTAAGCTTTTCTTCTATGTATTCAAATAAAAAAATAAATTAAACATTAATAAATTTGTTATATTTCTTCTTCCTTAATATTTATTTATTAAATTTGTTAGACGAGGGTAACGATCTAGAGGTTAAATAGATCGTCGAATAAGAATTCTTATTAAAAATTTATTTTGAAAAATATTTTACTATGGCAAACGAAAGTGAATTCGGATCGATTATCGGTTATCCGAACCGTTATTAGTAGAATCAAATATGCATATAAGGTATAGTAAAACGTATGCTAAAGATGAGAAAAGAAAACCAACAAGTTCTATATAATGTGTTTGAACATAAACCACACTCTTATAAACAATTTCTAATGAAATGTAATAATAAATGTGACTCGGAAATTTTATCGAACACTTAATGCGTAGTCAATTTGTCAAACATTTGGTGTACAACACACCAAATTTAATTCTCTTTGTGTTGAAGGTATGACAAATCAATTGCAATTGTTTAGATTGCAATGGTTTCATAAAAACAATTTAAGATACTTCAACACAAATAGAATTATTAAAAAATTAAATTACTCAATAAGTGTTATTAAAACGGAACGGAGAGAGAGAGAGAGAGAGAGAGAGAGAGAGAGAGAGAGAGAGAGAGAGAGAGAGAGAGAGAGAGAGAGAGAGAGAGAGAGAGAGAGAGAGAGAGAGAGAGAGAGAGAGAGAGAGAGAGAGAGAGAGAGAGAGAGAGAGAGAGAGAGAGAACACTGAGATCTGTTTAGGTTGTTCCCTAATTATTCTCAATATGGGTACGTCTGCCCTCAAATCAAAATTGAATTGAGATATTATAATTAACCTTGGCAATAGTAGTTTACAACAGAACTAGTAGAAATTCAAACCCCCAAACTCTGTGTTGAATGTTGACCCTAACTTCTTATGTTCCTTTGATCTTAGCTAGATCAAGTCATACAAGACTTCCAATTTGATCCTCTGGTGACCGCTACTCCTTTAAACGGACCTCGGTTCTTCAAATATTTCACTCGAATGAATTCAAATTGCGATGTCTTACCCCTAGTCTTTCAATTGATCCTCTGGTTATCGCTACTCCTTTGTAAGAACCCCCATTCTTCAAAGCTTTCACTCGGCTGAATTCAAGTTGCAAAGACTTGTGCAAAAACCCCCAAATTAACTCTTGATCTTGGAGGGAAATTCTAAAGTTTTTATCAATCAAACACCCAAAGAAAAACTCAACCCAGTTTGATTACACTAACCTAAATCAGATCTTATCAATCTTATCTTGATGACACTCAACAAAAATGTTTCTATTTAGTTGTTGAGTGCATACAAAGAAAGATTGAAGACGATGAAATTTTTTTAAGTGTGTTCTTGGTTTCAATGTTGAGAAATGATGCATGAATATATATTTATACGTATGTGTGTGTCTACGAAAATAACAAGCAAAACAATTTTTTTGTGCCAAAAATGCAAGTTTTGAAAATTAGAACAGAATGTATTGACTCCAAATATGAATGATTTAATACACAAGCCAAAGAATTTGATACATATCATAAAGGAGTCGATACATTAAGAGCATATAGTTATTATTGGAAAAATATTTAGAAGGAGTCAACTCCAAACACGAGGGTGTCGATTTATCAGCGGAATGTATCGACCCATATCATCAATGTATTAATACATTGAAGGTAGGGAATTTTGTTTGAAAATGCCTTATAGATGGAGTCGACTCCAACCATGAATGATTCGACTCATTCACATGATGTATCGACCCATGCCTTATGTATCGATACATTAAGAGAAGAACTTTTGCCTTTTAAAAACTACTCAATATGTATCTGCATATATTTCCACCGGGCTATACCTAGTTTTTGCATCATTAAGAGTTTGACTAAGGCAATGTATGGTTTTTTCAACGCCATTATCATCCTCTTGAGCTAATAGACTTCCTATGGTCAGGTCTGAGGTCGAAATGTACAACCTCGTACATCTATTCCTAACTGGAGGCGACAAGATATAAGGGTTCTCTAAGTATGTCTTAATCTCATCAAACACCTTTAGATGCTCAGGTCGCCACACAAACTCTTCTCATTTCAGACGAAGCAATGGTGAAAAAGTTTGCACTTTGCCACTAAGGTTCGATATGAACCTTCTCAAAAAGTTGATCTTCCCTAAGAGAGGTTGCAACTCCTTTTTTGTTGACAGAGGCTTCGTCTCTTTGATGGCTTTTTTGATTTATTCATCTTGATCCTCTTCTTGTGGACCACGAAGCCAAGAAAATTTCATGCCTGCACACAAAAAGCACACTTATGGGGGGTTTACTTCAAACCATATTTTCTCATTCTTTCGGATTGTCTAAGGTGATCAAGATAGTTATTCCTCGACATAGATTTAATAACCATGTTGTTGATGTAAATTTGCATAAACATCTCAATATAGTCATGGAAGATAGAGTTCATCACCCTTTGATACCTTGGTCCAGCATATTTTACGCCAAATGGCATCACTACATACTCATAGGTTCCTAAATCACTTGGGCATCGAAATTCCATCTTCAGTACATCTTCATATGCAATAAAAATTTGGTTATATCCAGAATAACCATCTAACGTGTAACACCCTTTTCTACCCCACAATTAAAAGTCACATTTATTCACATATATCAGAGTAAATTTTTAAACTCAATAAAATCACCTCCAGGGCGTACATTTCCCAATAACTCAAAAATAAGTCAATTCTCCGTGTACAACGGGTCTTCCCAAAAGATATCAAAATTTGCTCAAAGCACCAAAACTCAAAGGCATAATCCAAGGTTTTCCTTACACGGAAAGATAATCCAAGTAACTCAAATAAAACATAGTTTAACTCAGAGACCCCAACCCGATATTACACTATCAGAGCAAGACCCTCTAAGTCAACCAAAAGGCTAACAACTCAAAAACTTCAAAAGTCCTAAACGGCATCCACAACTAAACCTAGTCATCTGTACGTTACCCACGTGGAGGTAACTTTCAAACAGGCATGGTGAGAAAGACGATTCATAATAATCAATGTATAAAAATCAACATATAAATGGCATCATAATCATATTCAACACATTCATATTCCTCAAATATGCCTCAAAGGCCACAACATCATAATTCATACAAAAGACCCATAAATGCAATGCAACAAGACTTAATGCATGTGGTACCAATCATCACAACTCGATGGACACTGGGCCATCAAACCTCCATAGATCCCAATAAATAGGATCGATTCTACTAGAGAACCGGAGCACATCAAAATACTTCACATCCACACAATAGGATTGAAGCCAAAGTAATCGAGGTCCTGAATCGAAGTCCGGATGCACATGAATGCATGATGAACACGTTACAAATCATCCTCATAACAACATCATAGGTGAATCATCATCATCAAACGTCATAGCTCATCATCATAATCATATTCATACATCATGTCATCATGGCTCATCATAATAATAATCATCATACATCACGTCATCATATAATCATAAGAATCATCATCATACATCATAGAAATCATCATCTAATCATATACAAATCACATAGAGCTCAAAGTCATACTCATATTAATTTATCATATTATCACATATTAACTCAAAATTATACTCGCGAAAATCCTCATAATATCGCCTATTAATCACATAAACTTCATAGTCCTACTCATGTTAATTCATCACAGAAATCACAAAATCAAACATCAAGGCATCGCTGCACAAGATCAACATTCACAAAACTCTGCTATGTTCGGTGGCATGTTCGCTAGGCGAGTCCGGGGCGAGTTTCTTCGCTAGGCGAAGAATTCTTTACTAGGTGAGTCTGGGAACAACATTTTTCGCTAGGCGAACTGTGCGATAACAACAAATTCTGCTATGCACCAGAACCTAAATCCACCCAAAAGGCTCCACGATTCACTTACCCAATGCCCCCAAAACATCCCTAAATCATCCTTAAGGTCTTACAGCAATAAAGGCAAAAAACCTACGGTTTACTAGGTCAATCCCGTAATATATCCACGTCCTAAATCACAATTTTCCCTTCAATTACACCCTAAGGCATTAGAGTTACTCACTATCCAATATTTCTATCCCTTCAAGGTCAGACATATAACAATTCAAGGTTTTGGCCACGAAGGCCTAACTCTCCTTTTCCCCAACGGATTCCACGGTTAGATTCACACTAACAGGTTTAGGCCACGAAGGCCAAAGATTACTATTTCTCATATCTATGCTTTAACAGTCAGGAATACTTACCACTACACCACAATATCATCAAGGTCCCACTATCAAATTTCCCTACGGGGTTAGACCAATGTCAAATCCGAGTTTTGGCCACGAAGGCCTAGTTTCCCTATTCCTCACAATCAATCCCAAAATCCCTTAAATCTTAAATCATCCATAATTACATTGAAAGTCGCACATGGAAAATCATGAAAGGCTATACTCCCCATACCTTAATTGTCGATTCAAAGCCTTCACGAATCTTTCAAGGAATCTTTCGAAACTTCTACCTCCAATCTTCTCCTCAGAGCTCTGGCCTCAATTCTTTTCACGGTTAACAAAATGAATCCTAAACCTTCAGAATTCCTTTTTGTCAAACCTAGTCTTGGGCCTCAAAATTGGGCTTTTCCCATATTACCCTCACTTACTCCTCTTAATGTCCAATTTGCCCTTCTTTCACTTATATTTATTTTAACTAATAATAATACTAATATTTTCATATTGTATATTATTAATTAAATAAACAACCCAAAAATGCATCATTCCCAATAATCCACAAAACCATTGAAAATCGCAGAAAAATGAATATTTTCAATTAAATAAATTAATTTAAATATTCCAATTAAATTCGGGGTGTTACATAACGTACTGAGGTACTCAAAATCCGTTACTAAATCGACAAACATCTCGGCGAAAAAAATTGGAGATTCGTCCTTTGGGGTTGCAACGTTTAGATATCTAAAATATATGCAAACCCTCA